GGGACCCGGCGGCTGGGCTCCTCTCTCTAGCCGACAGCCGCCTCACCCGGTCCGGCCGTGCGCGCCTAGTCACGCCAGGCCCTCGGTGCCTCGTCTCCAGCCAGGTACGCCCGGGTGCCGCCCCGCGCTCCAGAGAGCAGCCGAGGCCGTGCGCGCCGCGCGGGTTTCCGTGGAGGGAGCACGGGCGAGACCGGCGGGACCTCCCCTCCGCCTGCCCTGGAGGCCGGTGTCTCGAGCCTTGACGCAGCTCCAGACTCCTGGCCGGCCGCGCTCCCGACAGGCCTTTGCGGTGCAGCCTTGCCCTGGGGTCTCTGTCCGTGAGAGCCGGGCTGCTGAAGGCCGTGGAGGGAGGGGCGCGGAGAGCGGGGCGTCCTGGGCGTCCCTGCGCTGGTGGACACCGAGCTTCACGTCGCCAGTGGAGAGGCCTCGGCCCGGAGGGGAGCAGCTGCGCTGCCTGCCCGCGCGGGCGTGCTTTGAGTGTCTGTAACCGTAGCGGTCACTGACGCTGCAGGCCTGTGAGATGTGGAGGCCTAGGAGACAGTCGCGAGGTCCTGCTCCATTTTTAACAACTGTCTTCTTTCTCGGTGTGCGCAGCACGCAGAGAAGTGAGCGAACCCGGTCTCTGTCATGGAGTGCCTGCCAGCTTGAGCTGGGCCGAGAAGACCATTATCGAGAACAAACGTTTCCTGGGCAGTTTGTGACAGTGACTTGGGGATACAAAAAAGGCGTGATCCTTGCCCTCAGGAAACCCTGCCTCATATGGAGGCTGGCATGTCAATGACAAGCCACATGTGGAGTGACAAGTGTCCTGGTAGAGGGAACAGTGCTGTGGAGCTCAGAGAACCAGCGCAAGCCCCAGGCTGACAGGTGTCAGGCTCAGTGGGTTCAGGGACCACCCCTTTCCATGGAGCATAGTCGACTTAGCACCAAGATGACTTTACGCCCTTCCCCGGAGAGCAGTAGCTGCCTGCAGCTCAGCTCCTTCCACATGAGGCACGAGGGTTGCGTGCTCTTTTGTATTAGATCTTGGTTTTCACCTGTTTCCTGTTAAAGCTACACTCACGCCTCAAACTCCTGTCTGGCTGAAACTCCAGCCTGGTTGATTGGGGCTGTGATTCTCCACCCTGGGTCACCAGGGCACCCCCCTACCCATCCCAGCAGAGATGCCACCTGTACGGTTATTTTGTGTATGACCTCCACATGTGGAATAGAAAAGGAAAGACCAAGCATCCCCTCTTGACTTAACAAAGAGAATTCAAAGTATTTGTACGTTGAATTGTATGTCACTTAGGAACCAATACAAATAATATGGAGTAATTTTACCTAGAGCACCACATTTTGCAGTAAGGCAACTGTCAGGACTATGGACCTCTTAGTAGAGAAGAGTAACTGTCCCAGGACATGAGGCTCCTTTGCTAAGAACAGCTTCTGCAAGAATGGTTTGAAGAGTCAGAACATGACCTGCTTTCCTGGGAGATGCAGAGGAAGGAGTACTTCCTCATAATTTTGTTGAGGCTTCTTTCACCAGCAGAAAGAAACGTTTTTCAGGGCTTTATGCTGGAATTACTTTAGTTGGCACTGAGAGAAAGAGGCCAGTCAAGGAAGCTCAGGAATAATACGGCAGAGAAATGGCAGAGCCGGGTTCTCAGCAGGCAAGATGTGGGTGGCACAGGCCACTGCCTCTACAGACACCTGGCCTTACCTGTCGTTGGGACTGACTAATTCTTGTTTGAGTCTGTGGTGAGCCTGGGATGCTATTAGATGGGGTTATGGACAATGTATATCAGATCTTTCCTTCTCCCAAGATGTCCTTACTAGAGACACTTGCATAACATAACATTCAGACAATGAAAGCAGAATCCTGGTTGATGGTCAGTTTTGGCCCCAAGTCTGGATGAGAACTTGCCTCAGCTCCACAGCTCAGGCAGGAAGCAGTAGAGAAGCCAACCAGTGCACAGACTGCAGCCAGGGCCCAGGGCTGCCACTCATTCCCACGTGAGCTGGAGACTAGGTATATGATACTTGCTAAGTGCTTAGAACGGGGCGCGCTCTCTGAGTGATGGTTATTTTAATTTTATGACCATTCAACAGGTATTTAATGAGGAGCTTCCACGTGCCAGAGCTATTGCAAAGCATTCGGACAGACAGCACATTGAGCAAGAAAAAGTCTGCATTTAGTAAAAATAAATGAAAGAAGTTTAGCCCACGTTAAGAGCTAGAGGATAAATGGAGCAGGCTAAGAGAAAACAGGGTGTGGGGACATGTGTGGCCAGGTGGGAGGCCTCTGAGAAGGGGCCATTGGGGCACAGCTCTGACGGCTGAAGGGCCAGCCCACACAGGATGTGATAGGATGGGGTTCACTGGCTGCTGTGGACAATGGGGGGTGGCGGAAGGGGCACAGCCCCCAGTTTCATCCAGCTCAGAATCCAGGCTCCAGGTGATGGCAGCACCTTCCCTGAGGGGCACATGTGGCTCCTGTAGTCCCAAAGCACATTGATTGACTGGCCCCAAATCCAGGAAGGTAGAGAAGGAATGAGAAAAGGAAAGTGGAGGAGGGAAAGTCACAAGGCCGCAGGTGGCCTGTGGTTCGTGTCAGATCCTACCGGATGTGGCGTGCAGGCTCCATTCCCTGGCAGAGGAACAAGGGCACCTTTTTGGTGCTGAGTGGGCAATGATGCCGTTTGCAGAAAGGAGGGGAGTGAAGAGCGGGCTGAAGATTGAACGTCCATGTGGGAATACGTAGGGAAGGAAGGGGGCGTGACCCCACCCCATGTCCCTTCCCAGCACTTGCCCTCCTGTCCCTTGATCACACGGTCCCTGAAAGACACACATTTAATCTAACGTTTATGATCTTGCTTCTCTCCAGCAGCAAAGGGTGGTGGCGCTCTTCTTCCTGGTGCAGAGCTCCAGTTACACACTCAGAAAGTGGAGAGTTGCCTCTAAAGCAAGCCGTTCCTGAGCAAGGGGAGCCACAGAGAAAGAAAACAGCCCCGGCCTTCCTCGTAGCCCAGGCTGCAGACCTGGGCCCTCAGTGGCTGCCAGGGATCAGAGAAAAATGGAAAAGCCTGTGGGCAGAAAAAAGAAGACACAGGCCCTGAAGAAGGAAGTGGACGCGCAGAAGGACACTCACAGAGAAGAGAAAGTGTCTGGGGGAGGAAAGCCAAACAGGAGATGCACTGCAGCCAGAAAGCACAGTGAAGAGCCGCGCCTAAGCCCTGAAGATGAAGAACACATCTTTGATGCCTTTGATGCTTCATTTAAAGATGACTTTGAGGGCATCCCCGTGTTTGTTCCTTTTCAGAGGAGGAAGCCTTATGAGTGCAGTGAATGCGGGCGGGTCTTTAAACACAAGACAGATCACATTCGCCATCAGAGAGTCCACACCGGAGAGAAGCCCTTCAAGTGCAATCAGTGTGGGAAGACCTTCCGGCACAGCTCCGACGTCACTAAACATCAGAGAATTCACACTGGAGAGAAGCCCTTTAAATGCGGGGAGTGCGGGAAAGCCTTTAACTGCGGTTCCAATCTCCTGAAGCATCAGAAGACACACACCGGAGAGAAGCCCTATGAGTGTAAGGAATGTGGGAAAGCCTTTGCCTACAGCTCCTGCCTCATCCGACATCGCAAGCGCCACCCACGGAAGAAGCACTGAGCGTGGGGAAGCTGCCTGAACCTTCCTGGTGGGCATGCTCCGTGGCTTCCTCCCCACTGAGCATCTGACCAAGGCCAGGAGTCATGTGCAGCGTCTCTGCCGTCACCAGGAAAATCTGCCCCATCAGATATGCAAAGTCCAGACAGGTGAGAGACCTGTGAACCTTCCTGGTGGGCATGCTCCGTGGCTTCCTCCCCACTGAGCATCTGACCAAGGCCAGGAGTCATGTGCAGCGTCCCTGCCGTCACCAGGAAAATCTGCCCCATCAGATATGCAAAGTCCAGACAGGTGAGAGACCTGTCTGCCCCAGAGAATCTCCGTGGATAGACACTGTGATAACCTGGAAGCTCCCCCAGGCTGCTTGCAGCTACGGGCCATTCTCCAAGTTGCTTGATGCTGCTCGGGGCTTAGCACCAGAGGCAGACAGTGCGTTAGCTGCCATCCAGGGGACAGGCTTGGGATGCCTGAGAACACCCAGCAGGAGAGGCACATGACATTGGCAAGGGCCCACTCTGCTTTGGCACTTTCACCAGCACCTTTGAAGACTCAAGGTCTCCTGATGCCCCAAGCCAGTCCGCATGCAGCCTGGCAGGATCCTGTGGCCCTGAGCTAAGGGACAGTGCTCTCTGGCGAGCTCTGGGGACCCGGGTGCCCACCAGACCGCACCAGACCCCTGCTCGGCCCTGCTTAGCTGGCTTCAGTGACCATCCTGCGGTTTGTCCCCTGGCTTTTCTCCTCAGGTGGAACATCAGTCCCTGATGATGCTCAGCCCCCTGTCTCCTGAAACTGGGCCACGCCATGTGTCTTTCCAGCACAGCCATCATCCCAGGTGGGCAGCCTGACTTACGTGGATGGACCACTGGAGACGTGGGCTCCTCAGGGCCTTGAATGGTACCACTGTGGGAAATGCTTGCCCCAGCCATGTGGCAGGGCCCTGGGTGCCAAAGGCAGCTTCAATCCTGCCTGTGTCTGCACAGGCCAGTCCTCCATTCAGGTTGGTTCCAGTTCTCCCTGCTTGTCCCCAATTCCGGCCTGCCCCATGGGAGAGTGTCCACATGAGTGTACCCGCTTTTGGTGTCCATCCACAAGTGGTCTGGATGGGGCTCTGTGCTCTCTAGGGGACTTTCTAGGGGTTTGTAAGAGGGTAGCAGAGTGATTTTGTCGACCAAGAGGCAATATGGCTTTTTATTGGGAAAATGTTAGCACCTATGTTTTCATCTGTTTGGACACAAGAAATTAATAATGCCCTTAGTCTTTGGGGATTCTGTCCTGAAAAAAAGGGTCTCAAATTAGAGCCAAAGGTGGACTCATCCATCAAGCAGTCACAGAAACTGAGGGGGAGTCACCGCCACAAGTGATTGACAACAGAGTCCTATTCCCAGTGGAAATGTTAGTTACTGGGTTAGCAAATTTTTACTGTTGGAATCCTTCCGAAAGCTGTGACATTCTGATACCTCCTCATGGCTGGGTGCCTCCTACGGCAGCAGCCCCACACCAGCTCAGCCACCATGGCACAGTGGTACATGGAATTGCCATCCTTGCAGAGTGGCACTGCAGCCAGCCTACCTCCCACTTGTGAGAAAACTTCAGTCCCTGTACTCACACTTATTTCAAGAACATTCCCAAAATACATGCAGAACATTTGTCTTCTCCCCACCTCTCACATGGCCTGCCTGGCCCGAGGAGCCCGTTTTGTGGCTGCTGGGAGCCTGGGAGCTTTCGCCAGCCAGCTGTCCTGCGGAAAGGCTGCTCAGCTCCTGGCCTCTCTTGTACCTGTTTTCCAAAGGAGACATTCTGATAATTCACTTGTTCCAGTCTCCTCTATTTCCCCTTCCCCACAAAAAAGGAAAAGAAATAGTCTAGAACTGGGAAATAAAATTCACCTAAATCCCAAAACCAAATGGAATCCCGCCACAGGAGTTTAGCGTCTAGCCCAGTTAATTTTCTGCAGTAGCAGACTGTGGGCGTGTTCTCCAAGGTCAGGAGCGACACCTACTGCCTGGACTGGGCGTGAACCCAAACAGGCCTGTGCGAGCAGAATGCCCCCACCCCAGCACAGCGCACAGCTGGGTAGTGCTGGGCATCTGTGCAGCCCCGCCGTTTTGTTTGGGTTGAGATCATATTGGCCTTTATCAAATATGTTGTCTGGGGTGTTCTGCTCTCGTGACCATGCTCGAGGGGCCACCCTGCGTTCAGGTGGGCAGGTAATCCTCAGTTTCTGCTATAGGGGAACCTTTGGTGCCCATGGCCTCCTCACTGTCCTGCCACCATGGTCACTGTCAGAAGCAAGGCTTTTGTGGTCTCTAAGGAAAGCTGGCTCTCCTCCCCTGTGGCCTGTGGTGTGTCATGTGGCTGCCCCCTGCAGTGACTGCACACTGCAGGGCGTGTGCAGATCCCCAGGGCTGCAGTCGGCTCACTGCTCTCACTGCTCTCACTGTGGGGCAAGGGGAGCAAGATGCAGCAGCTTTGCCCCACTAGACTGCTCCCGGGTGCTGCAGGTGGGCCTCAGCTGGCGCAGCCCATCCCACAGGGTAGAACATTCCCAGGTGGGGGGCTTCCTGTACTGGGGTCACCTCAGACAGCCATCTCCAGCAGAAGGAGCCTCACAGTCCCAGAATAGAAATTTGATGAGGCAGAATTATTCAGAAGCAGGTGTCAGAGCTGACATAGGAGACACACACCTAGTGTGTGCTACTTGACTGAACAAGTTGCTGTAAAGACGTTGCTGGGACATCTGGCAAACCTGGAGCCAGGACTGTCCACCAAGTGGCAGCACGGTGTCCTGGCTGCTGTCCCCACGTCCTGGTACTGCAGATGCATGCGGAGCTGCTCGGGCACAGGGCTTGATTTCTGCAGTTCACCCTCAGATGTCTGGCAGAAAAGAGCAGTAACATGTGTGTGTATCTATGCACTGACACAGATGAAGCAGACGGGCTGAATGTCAAACTTTCCCTGCACAGGGCCAAAGCGTCATATTTTTGGCTTTGCAGCCATATGTTGGTATCACAACTCAATGGCAGTTATAGACAGCATGTAAAGGAATGAGCGTGGCTGTGTGCCAGTAAAACTTTATCCACAAAAATAGGCGGCCGGCCAGATCTGGCCGACAGGCCACAGTTTGCCAGCCCCTGTCCTAAAGGAGCGTATGTGAAAGTTCCCTCCCTATCTTTGCAGGCGTCCTGTATGCCTTAACGTCCTGCAGAACTAAACATGACAGATGGCTGGGGAGAGCTGGCTTAGGAAATCAGGAAACCATGGGGTGGGGCAGAGAGCCGCTCAGAGCAGGGTCCTCTGCTGTTGGTCTTGATATGCCGGGACGATGACAGGGATGGACAGATGTCCATCACAGCCCAGCACACTTGTGTACATGCCCTGGTGCTGTGTGCATTTTTTATTTTTACTTGCTATTAGTATTAAAATAATTTTTCTCTGTTACTGCCAGTGAGAAGCATTACTGTTAACCACTGCATAATCTGTTGAATAGAAAAACCAGAGTTGATTTATCTATTTTCTAACACAGGCATGTAGGCTGTTTCCAGTTTAGGTTATTATAAGTAATGTCATGATAGATATCTTTTCTACATTTAGGGCCAATAGGATGGGCCCCCAGATGCGGAATGACATATTGCCAAATGCCTGCCCCCAGATTGTGCCCACGTAGATGCCTGCAGCAGTGCACGAACAGCAGGGCCACCTTGGCCTCTCCAGCAGTGGGTAGGTGGGTTCTTAATCCTTGCCAGTTTGTTAGGAGAGAAAACACTTGTTTTAATCTGATGTCTTTGATTTCTAGAAAGGAAGTCAGGGCAAAGAGCTTAGGCTCTTGAGTCAAATTATCGACCTGACCCCTTGCTTTGCATCTATGGGACTGTGGACACATTGCATTACTTCCTTGTGCCTCAGTGGCCTCAAATGTGAAATGGAGATGCTGACAGTGCTAACCACCTAGGACCACCAGGAAATCAGTGACTTACTGTGTGAAGCCTCAGTGCAGTGCTGGCTCACACTAATTGTTTAACAAGTGTTAGCTCCCATCATGGGTTACTGTCCTTACAGGAATCAGATGTTTGCTTACTTGCAGGGAGGGGAGACCTTGGATACCTCTCCCAGGGACAGACAGGAGCAGACGTCAACAAAATCAGCATGAAAGACAGCAAAAGTGCATTATCTCAAAGCACCTGGAAATCCAGACAGCAAAGATACAGTTCACAGCTATGAGGAAAATCTCACAACAACCAAAATCAGTCTGCCGACTTTTTCTTTTCTTGTCCCGTCTCTTTGGTGCAGACACATGGGCTTATTTCTCATTTCCCTGAGTTATCATCGTGACAGTGCAACCATAGTTAGCACTGAAGCCAAGTCTTTTAGATTAGTCTCTGTTTTTGTGTTTTGTTGTTGTTTAAAGGAAGGCCAACATTCTAGGAAAAAGAAAACCTAAATAACCTGAGTCAAAAAGAACATAATAAAAATTATAAAATACTTAAAACTTAGTGATAATACTGTAAGAACCTTTGGGTGTAGATAAAGCCAAAAGGAAATTTATAGCCTTAAGTGTGCATATTCCTATTAGAAGAAGAGCTAGAAATCAGTAAACTAAGCATCCAATTTTAAAAGTTATAAAAAGAGTCAAGGGTTCAAATCCCCATGCCAGCCAACCACAAAAATAAATAAAGATAAAAATTATAAAAAGAATAACAGAATAAGCTCAAAGTGGAAAGGAAGAAATTAATAAAGTTAATTATTAATCTAACGGGAATAGATACTGTTGAGAGGATAAAAAAGCTAAAAGTTGGGCTTTTTTCCACATTTGTCTGAACTCTTGAAAGTTCTTTAAAAGGACTATTAAAAGTGACGTCCCCTGGTAACACGATTGATTGGGAAGAGAGGAAGAGCACACGAGCTGTGAGCAATGAGACGGGAGGACAAGTTCAGATCAACAGAATAAGCTCAAAGTGGAAAGAAATTAATAAAGTTAATTATTAATCTAACGGGAATAGATACTGTTGAGAGGATAAAAAAGCTAAAAGTTGGGGGGCTTTTTTCCACATTTGTCTGAACTCTTGAAAGTTCTTTAAAAGGACTATTAAAAGTGACGTCCCCTGGTAACACGATTGGGAAGAGAGGAAGAGCACACGAGCTGTGAGCAATGAGACGGGAGGACAAGTTCAGATACATCCAAGACTGAAAAGATGAGAAAATACTGCTGGTAAACATGAGAACTCAGAGGAAGTGGCTAGATTATTAGAAGAACTTACCAAACCAACTCAAGCAGAAGTAGCTTAAAGAATCCCATAACCATTAAAGAGTCTATCAGTAGTTCACAGTCTTCCCAGAACACCAAGTCCAGATGGTTTACAGGGGAGGTCAAGAAGCAGGTAACTCCAGAGTTACACAGACTCACACACAGAAAAACTGCCTCACCGTACTTTATGAAGCTAGTATAACCTTGATGTAAAAACCACAGCTCAGTGTCACTCATGCACACAGGTGCAGAAGTCCTAAAGAAAATAGTAGCAAGCCAAATTCAACAGTGCGTGGAGAGATAATATAGGGAGACCAATCAGGTTTATTTCAGGAAGGCAAATTTGGTTCAAAATTGGTGTAATTTGGGCCAGCCCCGTGGCTCACTCGGGAGAGTGCGGCACTGGTAGTGCCAAGGCTGCGGGTTCGGATGCTATATAGGGATGGCCGGTGCGCTCACTGGCTGAGCGTGGTGCTGACAACACCGTGCCGAGGGTTGCGATCCCCTTACCAGTCAAAAAAGAAAAAAAAGTTGGTGTAATTTTTCACATGAACAGAAAAGGGGAGAGGATTACCTTCTTATCTTAGTAGCTACAGAGAATACATCTGCTGATGTTTAACATTCATTTGTCTTCAGTGTCTCTTCATTAATAAGGACTGTAATAGTTTTCTTAACCTGATAAAGAATATCTACCAAAACCTACAGCAACATTGTATGTACCCACATAAACCCGACCTTAGGTTAAACATTAAGCAGCACTCCCTTTAAAGTCAAAAACTGAGAGTTCCTGCTCTCACCCCTGCTCAGCATGGCACTGGGAGTTCCAGCCAGTACAGTGAGACAAGGGGTAAACTACGTTAAGATTAGAATGGAAAACCTAATTATTTTAGCAGATATTATCTTCACAGAAACCTGAAAATTATCACACTATTGAAATTATTAAGGATTTAGCAAGATTGTCACAGGGATCAGTATACAAAAGTCAACTGAGTTATATGTCCAACAGAATTGAAAACAGAGACTCAGATATCTGTGCAAGTGTCAATAGCAGCACTAGTTACACCAGCCACGGGTGGAAACAACCCAAGTGTCCATCAGCAGACAAGTGGATAAACAAAACATGGTGTATGTACAATGGAATACTGTTCAGCTATAAAAAGTAATGAAATTTTGATTCATGGATGAACCTTGAAAACATGATGCTTAGTGAAATAAGCCAGACACAGAAGGACAAATATTGTATGATTCCATTTTTATGAGGTACCTAGAGTAGGCAGATGCATAGAGATAAAAAAAAGGATGGTGGTTACCAGGGCCTGGGGAGGGGAGGTGAGAGGGTCACTGTTTAATGGCTCAGGATTTATGTTGAAGTGATAAATGCAGTGGACTGAATGTGTCCCCCAAAATCCATATGTTGAAATCCTAACCGCCAATGTGATGGTGTTAGGAGGCAGGACATTTGGGAGGTGATTAGGTTTAGATGAGGACATGAGGGTGGCCCCCATGATGGAATTAGTGCCCATATAAGAAGGGACAGAGGCTCTCACCCTCGTGTACCACATGAGGATACGAGATCACACTGCGTCCTGACCTCAGACTTCAGCCTCCAGAACTGAGAGAGATTTCTGTTGATTATAAGGTGCCCAGTCTGTGATGCTCATCATAGCCAGCGAGACAGCGAGAACTTAGGGGTATAGGTAGTGGTGATGGGCACACAGAGGTGCCAGTCATAGCCACGTGACCAAAGCCATGTTCTTGCTTTTTCCCAGCAAAGGAACTAGGTGATAATTGCACTTTCTCCTTTTTTTTTTTTTCCAGAATGTACCACTTGTCACCTCTCGCAGGGTGACGGAGACACAAAGGATTACTCAGAGCCCATGTATCCAGAGCAATGAGAGGCCCAAAGGGGCTGGACCTAGGGAGAACTCCAAGAGAGGAGAGCCCAGGCACAGCCCTGAGTCAGGTTTTGCTTCAGTTTTTATTGTAAAGACAAGAAATTACAGAAGAAACACAGGTGGTTAATCAGTCATAGTGAAAACATAAACAAACTGGCTACATGACAATTTTTATTAAAGCAGGTGTAACTTAAAATAGTTCAAGCAATTTACCATCAAAGAAGTCATAAAACTAAGCTATGTGACATACAAAAAGAAACAATGACATAATCACCATGGCAGCACTTAGCTCCCTGAGAAACACAAAGAAACAGCAGAGGGTAAGATATGGAACATCCCCGAACTACTAACTAGCACAATAGCCTTGAAGATTTTAGCTCACATACTTTCCCATCATTTAGGTTTAGCTGCACCGAGGGCAACTGCCCCCAGAGCAATCACTTTTGCTGTTTCAATTCTCTTATTCACATCAAAGAATTTAGTCCTGTGACAGTTTTCTGGTTTTTACCAATCTTAGCATTTCTATGTGTGTTTCTGAAGAGTTGGGCTATGGCTTAAACTACAGGTCTTTGGTCCTGCTAAACTAAGGACTTTGGTCCTCCTAAGCTACAGCCTAATCTAAGGACTTTGGTCCTTCTATGCTATAGGCTATGGCCCTGTGAAATACATGTGTTTTATTAATGTTAATGTCCTCCACATACCACACTGAGAATGTATTTGTTTACTCACTCAGAATGTACTTCTCATCCCTTTTAAGTTTTTAGAGTGGCTCACCCCAAAACAAGAAGTTCCTGATGAACTATGCATGAAAAGGAACCCTAAAACTAGCAAGGAAGACTCCGGCATTCCTGAGTTTGGAGGAGAAGGAAAATGGTCTGATGAGACCCATGAAGCCTCCCCCAGAGCATGGGCTTGCGGCCAGGACCGGCACCCACACGGCTCCCTCAGGCTGTCTTGGTTGAGGCTTCATCCACCCAGAGGCGTCAACAGAGAGGCACAGCTGGGGACTCACCTGGGAAGGGCCGTGGCTGCAGGGACGGTCAGCTTGGCAGCAGGAATGCCGTACTGCACATGGGGTGAGTGCAGGGAAGTGTTTTGTCTGAGAGGCCTGCAAACACAGCACACAGGTGAGAAACTGGAAAGGCTGCGGGGGAGCTCTCGCTTGGTGTCCACACGGAGGCTCAGACAGTCACAGTGGGCAGCTGTTCACGAATGACCTCCGTTCCCACTCACTGCCGGCCAGCGCCCACTGGAGAGCCACGCTAACATGAGGCCCGCCCCAACGTCAGCTCCTGCTCACTTGAGCAAGGCCACCTGGAAGGGAGTGCTGGGAACTGGCTTGATATTCAGAACCTTCTCGACGTCTGAGAAGTGTGTTGGGGGAAGCACGAGAACCCTTCAGCCAGGCATCAGGGTTCTCATTGCAGGAAAACATTAAAGTAACACCCTGAAACTACCAGCCCTGGGTTGCACCTGGCCGTCACCTCCCAACCACCCTGTCCAGCAGGCGCTGCCCCTGGGGCCTCATCTGGCAGGAAGAGCACTGACCAGGACAGCCACAGCTGGGCCCCACCCGTCCAAGCACAGAGAACTTCTGAATGCCACAACTTCGTTCTGCCACGGAGACCTGATATCGAGTGTCCCTCATTGGAGCATTTTGCGAGTTCTGGCAGCACTGTCCCTCCAGGCCTCATCCTGGCCTGTGAGGGAAGGTGGGAGCCATCTCTCGGGAGAAGCAGGAAGTGAGCACTGAGGAGGGGTGTTCAGCCCCTGGGACCAGACATCTGGGGGACACAGAGCCAGCTTCAGGAAGGCAGAGCCCTTCCTTGTCTGGGCCTCTGTCCTCTTCCACACGGGTAGGGGGAGGGTGCAGACCAGCAACATGGATTTAATGGCTCTGGCTGGGTCTAGCTGCATTTCCTGGGGAGGCTGTGGACATCAGGGTGCCCCTGGGCTTTATTACTAGTGACCACTCACTGATCCCCAGTTTGGGCACCAAGATATGATTGTTTCTTTTGTGCAAGCGAGCTAACAATGCAGAGGAAGGACTTGGGGACAGGGTCCTGTGGCCTCAGCACCAGGGAGAAAGGCCAGGCACCTGGATGGCAGAGCTCACTGCAGAAGCCCCACAGGCACTGGGGAGACTGGAATGACTGCTCTGGAACAGGACAGGGGTAGGGGGTGTCTGCGGTCAGCAGGGCATAGCTGAAGGGCAGCAGGAGGGTGGTGAGGAGGATGGGCTGGGCTCTGAGTTGGTGCAGGCGGGGAGCTGGGCACCCTTGCCAAACGTCACCTGCAGGTGAGGAGACTGCGCCAAGCACTCCAGCCTGTGCCCTGAGAACATTGTGCTTCTGAGGTTGGTGTTCTTTTCTCCTGGCTTCCTCCTCAAATCCCAGACATAACGGCAGCAAGGACGAACAGACTGTCCTCACCTTGACCAGAATCCCCTGTGATTCCTGCTTGGCTGTGGTGGTGACTGCCTGCTAAGATCTGTGCTTGATGCTGTTGCCCGCAGTCGCCCTTGCAGTGGCCCCAGGGGGCCCCAGGTGTGGATGTACCTGCCATACTGCTGGGGTGCTCTTTTTACCACAGCCTCAGCCATGTCCACCTGGCTCGTGTTTTCTAGTGTCCGCACCTGTGTTTTCACGTGTAGCTTTTTTCTGGTGAAGTTGAACACTTGGCCTGTCCAAACACTCCTGCCATTTGCTAGTGGGATGTGCTCCTCCCGCTGTGTTCATTCACAGCAGTCTACGTGCTGTGAATGCTCCTGTAACAGCCCATGGCTTGGCTTGTGTTGGTGGCAGATACTGTCACTGGTCTAGTGTTTCCCACTGTTACTTTGTATTGTCCAAAAACTTAACTTTCCAACTAGCCAAAGTGTTGAACTTTTACATAATATCCTTAGTCCTTAGTAAGTATCCTGTACAGTTGGGGTAAATATTCTATTTTGTTTTCGACTACGGTTTTTGTGTATTGTGGTTGTTTTGTTTTGTTTTCTTAGTCCCTATGAATTGCAGTATTGGGTTCCCATATGACTTTTCATTTGCCTCCACGTATTCATACAGAATGTTTTCTTTCTTGCTGCTTGTTGATATCTATTTTCTCATATAGTAAACATCTATTTCTGACCTGTTCACTGGGTTCCTTTTGATCTCTCTGCACTTCGGAGGTGCAGTCAAGATTCCTCCAAGGGGGCTGCCAGCTTCCTCCGCAGGGAACAGTGCAGGTCCCAGGTCCTCAGGACTGCAGAACCAGACCCTGGCTGGGCACTGCCTCCAATGGGTCTCTTCAGGACTGCTTTGCATTAATCAACTCAGTTAAATAGTTGAGTTTAGAGAGTCTTCTGTGTATTGTGGATACACATTCCTTGTTGGATATATGATTTGCAAATATCTCCTCCCCAAATCTTCCAATTGCTAAATGTCGGCAACTAGTTCAAGTTTTTCTTTAGTAAAAAAAACACCCAAACAAAAGAGGCTGTGAGCTGAATGGGGTTTAGGGCCACCAATTTTTCCTCTAGAAAAGTTTGTGATTACTTTGTGAATATCCAGGGAAAATTCTCTGAGTCTTGCATTAGATGTTCTGTAGCTCTATTACACCCAAACAAAAGAGGCTGTGAGCTGAATGGGGTTTAGGGCCACCAATTTTTCCTCTAGAAAAGTTTGTGACTACTTTGTGAATATCCAGGGAAAATTCTCTGAGTCTTGCATTAGATGTTCTGTAGCTCTATTAAAACAGAATAATATTTCCTGGCTCATATCCAGAACCTTCCCTGATTTGGCCTCTGCCCGCCTTTCTTCTTCCCCACTCCAAAAAGCCTGCAAGCGGCTCCATTCACACTCTAGTGGCCAGCTCAGAGAGGTGACACTGGAAAATCTCAGGAACAGGGCTGTCTGGGTGCGACATCCTTCCTGGGAGGTCAGGGTCAGGTATGTGTGTTCAGGAGCTCCCACCTGAACCTCTCGGCCTTCAAATGGGCTCAGGAAACTCCTTCAAGGTCCTGGGCCCCTGCCCGATGCTCCTTCCCTGTTGAGAAAGCATGAGCTTTTGGCATTAAAGCCTGGGAACTATTTAGCACCTGCAGAACACGATTTCACTACTCAGCGCAGCCCCCTAAGGTTTACTGCCCCATGTACTCTAGAGGGTGGTCCCAGAGAAACGGGTGAGCCACGTAGCCTTAAAGCACAGCAAGGACTGGACCCTGGCTCCTGCCTGGGGTGCAGTGTTCTCATTCAGCAGATAGGCACCAAACCTGTGACATCCTGGTGCCCAGGCTCCCGCTGCGCTGCTAGCCAGCCCAGATGCCCCCACTCCATTTTCTTCCTCACAAACAGGACTTGCCAACTCCAAGCCCAGCACCATGGCCAGCTGGAGCCAGCGCAGTCATGGTGAGGTGTGGGGATGAATGGGTGGCCGGAAGAGCAGGAGCATTGGGACAGAACTTCAGGAAGGCTGACCTGCATGATTTCAGCAGGGCCTGCAAGGGGTGGTGCAGGGAAAACCCCCAGTCCTGGTATCCTGCAGACAGTCTGCAGCCAGCACACTCTTGCACACCAGCATGAATCCCATGGGAAGATTTTCAGTTGTTCCACTCTTGCTAGGAGCCCAGGATATTCATTTGCCAGAGCCTGATGACCCCGGGTGCCCCTGGATGTCAGAGGCTCTTCTCCCCTTGCTCACCTGGGTTAGGGTAACCCTAACCCTAACCCTCCAGCACCAATTTTTGTCAGTCTCCTTCCCAGCTCCTGTCCTGTCCACCCCAACCAATGTCGCTTACCAAGGACGGTGCCTCCCCTGCACTCGACTGTCCTGGTGGCCAATCGCTCCCCATGTGGCCCTGAATGCCCAGCTTCTTTCTCCTGCCTCGTGCCCCACCCCAAGGTTGGACATCTCTTCCTCCCTGAAGATCCTTCGGTCTCCAGGCTCCCTCCTTCACCGTCCTCTCGCCCTTCGCCCGTCCAGGCCCAGGGGTCCAAGCAAGCCTGCTGGACGTTCCGCTGCTGGACACGTTCACAGGGCTCGAGGGCTCGCCTCCTGCAAGGTTCCAGGTCGTAAGAACAGGGCTGGGAAAGAAACTGGGGATGAACGTCAGGAAGTTCAGGATGGAGGACGATTCTGTGAAACAGTTTTGGGAAAACTAGAAGCAGATACTCCTTGGGCCCTAGAGGACACGTGGATGGCCGGTCGGTTTGGAGGGGCACTCCAGACACCCACCAAGGGGGGAAAGAGGCTGTTTTCCAGCAAGTTCCCCGGCAGACGACCGCATCTGTGGAAACACCCGAGGGAAAACCGCACTGAGGGAGATTTGGGCGGAACCTTTAAAGTCAGCTTAAATTCTGTCACTGACGGAGCGCTCCAGGGGGACGAGGACGTCGCGGCGGCGCGTGCGTCGGGTCCAGCCCTTCCCCGCACACGGCGGCTGAGACACCGGGAGCGTGTCCCTCGCTGGTGAATGTGCCTCCTCCTCACCTGAGACTTCTCAGCAGCTCACATGCTGCCCCCACCCATATCCCTCTCGATCCCCCTCATCTGCCATGGTTTTCATTTTCCCCAGGTCCCAGGTGTGCACACC